GATGATGGAAACAGTGTTCCAACAAGCAGAGATGCTGCATCTGTGCATCTCTCCTCTGCCCTCAGCAGGAGTATGCGCAAGAGAGACCCAAATGTACTCAGATGTACTTACAGGGGCTGAGTACAGTCACGTCGTGGTTTGGGACCTATGTGAGTGCACATGAAGTATTTTTGTATCTATTGAAGAGCTTCTCTGCTTTTACGACTATATAGCACTTGGACGGGGTCAGGATAAGGATTTGGGATGGGACTGGGGGGAAAGGAATGGTGCCCCAACCTCTTGGTGGACGGTCGGGGATTGAACGCCGACCTGCATGAAGCGAGACCGTCGGTCTACCGTCCAGCCCAAGTGGTTAGACACACTCCAAGGGAGAATGAACAAAATTTAAAAACAAAACCCAATTTAATAAATTGAAGAATAGCAGAATGAGGGAACATAGATTAAATCTTTTGATAGATGATCACCGTTGTAAATAAAGATCACTGTAAGTACTACAAATAAATGGATTGCATGTGCAAGCTGATTGACCTGATCAACCCCTTCCACTCCCCCTCCCCCCCTAATCACCCAATCACCCTCTAGTGTCTTCCTTATATCTCGTGGCTAAGTTTGTCGAGTTATTTGTTCCATGTCATTTGTTCTTTAAGTCTTCTGTATTTGGTTATTTGTTCATGTGCTCCTTTCATTGTTTTTATTTCATACGCTTTATTTTTTTGTTCTTCATTTGTATTTGTTTTGTTCTTGATGTTAAGAGGACATTAGGAGGAAGATTTCTGCTTAAAGTAGCGGAAATTATATTGATTTAATACTAAGCAATAATAATGATATTAGCAATTAATAACCTCATAGAAAATGCTGAGAACATCTGTAGCAGAACAGCGGTTTATTGTTATTTCCATCTCTAATCACTCGTCCGGAGAACAGGAGCCAGATTCACGAAGCAGTTACGCAAGCACTTACGAACATGTATATCATTCCTCGATCTCTGACGGCTTTGGTTACATTTATTAAACGGTTTACAAGCTGCCGAATCAACTGTAATTGTTATAAACAGCCTCCTGGTGCTTCGGAGCTCATTAACTGTTTAATATATTTTTAAACAAAGCCGCCAAAGATTGAGAAAAGATGTACAGATTCGTAAGTGCTTGGGGAACTGCTTCGTGAATCTGGCCCCGGATCTCCAGCTGGGTTATCGTAGGTTATTTAAGGATAACATGATACCTTTTGTTGTTATTTAGACTCAACAGCATTATCAGCCTTTTTTATGTATTTGTGTGAATAGGATTATTAAGTGATTGTGTTGTTTTGATTGTACTTTTGATTGTAATGTCTCTTTTTTTCAGGTATGTGAGATTGGGAGCTCTGTGAGGTGGTGGTGCGGAGGTTGCTGGTAAGTTAGGGAATAGGGGTTTGTTTTGGTGGGGTAAAGAGTTGGGGTTGTGGGGGGGGTTTGGAAGGAAGGAAGGAATTGTCAAGGGAAAACGCCAAGCCATTATGGCTATATAGCACTTGGAAGGGGTCAGGATAAGGATCTGGGATGGGACGGGGGGGAAAGGAATGGTGTCCAACCACTTGGACGGTCGGGAATTGAACGCCGACCTGCATGAAGCAAGACCGTCGCTCTACCGTCCAGCCCAAGTGGTTGGGTTCGGGGGGGGGGGGGTTGGAAAGATAAAGGGTAAGGAAAAGTTATAGGAACGTGAAATATAATGAGATAATGTGTGGATAGAGTCTAGGTTCCTCTATAAGTTGGTGTCTTTGTGGATTATAGAAGTGGTTTGTTTGTTTGTTGTTAAAGATTCGTTACCTGGAAGAAAAAGATCCAAGTAGCACGGGCTATGGTGAGCCCGTAGGGGAGTTGGTAATTTGCTGAGGCTTCTTTTGGTTTTAATTACTGTCATTATTCCGAATGTCGATTCCTGTTGAAGTGGGTCGCGTTATTATTAATATATTCGTGTGTGCTGGTTTGAGCAGGTTATCTTGAATTGCGGTTATCTTCCGTTGGTTCGTAAGATCAAGATCTAAACGGCCCGGTCTCTGACCAGGCCTCCTGGTTGGTGGCCTAGTCAGTCAACCAGGCTGTCAGACACAGCTGCTTGCAGTGTTCCAGCTACATCTAACAGCCTGGTTGATTGGGTATCCTTCGGATAGTGTTTATCAAGATCTCTCTTGAACACCGCGAGAGATAGGCAGGTTATACCCACTATGGGTAGCGGGAGTGTGTATACAGATCAGTCTTGGGGTCCTCGATGCTGTTAGAGTTCTCTCTCAGCGTACCTATTGCACCTCTCAGCGTACCTATTGCACCTCTCAGCGTACCTATTGCACCTCTCAGCGTACCTATTGCACCTCTCAGCGTACCTATTGCACCTCTACCTTTCAACGGGGGCATTCTATCATGGCCCCTTCGACTCATATGGAGTTGCGGGCGATGAGTCACAATAACGTGGCTGAAGTATGTTGACCAGACCACACACTAGAAGGTGAAGGGACGACGACGTTTCGGTCCGTCCAGGACCATTCTCAAGTCAATTGTTTTGAGACAATCGACGAGAATGATATTCTCAAGTCGATTGCCATTCACAATCGACTTGAGAATGGTCCAGGACGGGCCGAAACGTCGTCGTCCCTTCACCTTCTAGTGTGTGGTCTGGTCAACATATGGAGTTATTTCCACCTGCCGATTTGGAACCAGTGCATCTGAAATATTTTCCATGAGTAAATTATTATTAAGCATCTCTCCCGTTTGTTGACGTTCAAGCACAGCTGTTGCTGCCTCAACATGCTGTGCACTGAGCTGTGTACAAGAGCTCAGTACATATAAATATATCATAATTTATACAGTGAAATCACATAACTTGTTACAAATCCTGGGTCAATTAAATAGCACTCAGACAAGATGCTTGCTCGATACCTGGTTGATGGGGTTCTGGGAGTTCTTCTACTCCCCAAGCCCGGCCCGAGGCCAGGCTTGACTTGTGAGAGTTTGGTCCACCAGGCTGTTGCTTGGAGCGGCCCGCAAGCTCAGTGGCTGGTAGAGGCACTCAGTGGCTGGTAGTGGTACTCAGTGGCTGGTAGTGGCACTCAGCGGCTGGTAGTGGTACTCAGTGGCTGGTAGTGGCACTCAGCGGCTGGTAGTGGCACTCAGCGGCTGGTAGTGGTACTCAGTGGCTGGTAGTGGCACTCAGCGGCTGGTAGTGGCACTCAGCGGCTGGTAGTGGCACTCAGCAGCTGGTACTGACACCCAGCGGCTGTTAGTGGTCGGCAGTGGCACTCAACGCTTGTCATTGGTCACAACCGCTTGACAGTGGCACCCAGCGATTGGCTGTGCCACCCAGAGATTGGTAATTGCATACTTAACTACCATACTCTGTGTAATAACCTTTGGCTTGCTATACTGTCAATAGCGGCTATCGTAGTTGACGAGACAGCGCTGTGAATGGGAGTGCGGGTATCGTAATATCGTCTGTACTCTTCCGTATCACTGTGTAGCATACTGTAGATCTCTACAGTCTTCTGTACCTGTCTGTCGTCAGCTGTGGTTCACTGTACCACTCTTGTAGGTAAATATGTCTGTTTACAGTCCGCTGTAGATGTCTGTGTCTTTCTACTACCTTCTGTTCCACTTTCTGTAGCTGTTTGTAGCTCACGTTACAACCATCTGTGCTGCTCTATAGCCGACTCCTGTAGCTGAATGTATTCTAAAGAGGATGATAGGGTTCTCCTGTAGTCGACTGTATTCTAAAGAGGATGATGGGGTTTTGTAGTCTACTGTATTCTAAAGAGGATGATGGGGCTCTGTAGTCGACTGTATTCTAAAGAGGATGATGGGGTTCTCCTGTAGTCGACTGTATTCTAAAGAGGATGATGAGGTTGTTCTGTAGTCGACTGTATTCTAAAGAGGATGATGGGGTTCTCCTGTAGTCGACTGTATTCTAAAGAGGATGATGAGGTTGTTCTGTAGTCGACTGTATTCTAAAGAGGATGATGGGGTTCTCCTGTAGTCGACTGTATTCTAAAGAGGATGATGGGGTTCTCCTGTAGTCGACTGTATTCTAAAGAGGATGATAGGGTTCTCCTGTAGTCGCCTATGATGGGTTTCACCGCGGGAGTGTGTGTGTCCGCCACAGCGGCAGCAGTAGCGGCAGCAGTTTGGCACTGGCAGGGGTTTGAAGGTTGGCGCAGGGGGGGGGGGAGGAGGCTGGCTGCTGGCACTCACTGGTGGCGCTGGTGGAGGCCCGCACGGCGTGTGGGTGCCAGTTAGTGCTGGTGAGTGTGAGGGGACGGTTTACCTCCGCTCCCCACCTGAGGGTAAACCATATACTCTCCTTCGACCCGTCGATCTTCCTTTTTTCCCTCCTCGTTCGGTAGTCGCGGTTCGACTTCGCTGGCGGATCGAACACCTGCGTGTATGCGCGTGTTCGGTCGCGAAATTACGCGATGTTGTGTTTATATGTATTTTGTTTGACCTATATTGTGTGTTTTTTATGGAGGGGGACATTCGATTCTGAACAAGTTCTCGAACTTGGAAACTCTCTCTGTCAACGCCTGTTTGCTGGACCATTCACCCGTTAACCCCAAGTGCTTGTTCAGATCACTTGAACAGCGTGTTCAGAGTACCTTTGGAACAGCGAGGTATGAATATGAGAGGAGGGTGAACCTCCTCGTTTCAACCCCTGACTTGTACGAGGTGTTGTGATCTAGATTGCTGTTCCGTGGTGATTTGACCTGAATTGTGATTACAGCCGGACAGGTCATGGGGTCAGGGGCAGAGGATGATGAGGATGATGATGATGGTAAGTGATTGTGATGCAACAGAGAATGGTGACTCGCCTCGTTGGCAACCAAAGAAATTGTTCAACAGCAATTCAGTTCGTGAAAATTGACATCCCCATTTCCTATGTCAAACAACGTGTGGAATAACTTTTGGTGTCCAAACAATTGAACCTCTTTTTTTTTTTTGTCAGTGGTGGTGTTTTGATGTTCTACGCCGGTCTACAATGCAGGAACCCCCACGTACAATGCAGGAACCCCCACGTACAATGCAGGAACCCCCACGTACAATGCAGGAACCCCCACGTACAATGCAGGAACCCCCACGTACAATGCAGGAACCCCCACGTACAATGCAGGAACCCCCACATACAATGCAGGAACACCCACGTACAATGCAGGAACCCCCACAATGCACAATGCAGGATGCAGGAACCCCACGTACAATGCAGGAACCCCCACGTACAATGCAGGAACCCCACGTACAATGCAGCCACAATGCATGTACAATGCATGAACCCCACGTACAGCATAGTACTGGTTGCCGAGAGAAGATTGTAGTGATGTGTCCGGCATCATAGCAGCATCAGTGGTGTGTACTATGTCAACCACTGACATCATGGGGGGGTGTAGGTGGTGATGGTGGTTGTGCAGGTGGTATACGGGGGGGAAGGGGAGGGAGTAGTGTGGCTGGTAGCTATGGTACTAGCGTGAGTGTTGACAATCGTATAATGTGAGTAGTGATTGTTGTAGGTGATTCCTGTAATTGTGGTAATTACCATAACCCTGATTGTGATTGCCTTAATTGCGCTGTCGGCAGATTGTTGTTGTGGTGTGATAGTGGTAGACTAGACTACCACCACTGCGATAGTGGTGTGATAGTGGTAGACTAGACTACCACCACTGCGATAGTGGTGGTCGTCTACTATAATAGTTGAGTCCTTGTGGATGAAGATGAATAAGCCACTCAGGAGGTGGCACGGGCATGAATAGCCCGAAATGGCTTCATCTAGGTGTATTGTGTTAGTGAAGTGCTGGTCTGTGGTCCACACTACACCCTGTAACGGTGTAGTGGATCACTACCACCTAGTGTATTAACTAGGTGTGGCAGTGGGGACCCCAGCGGAGGTGTGTAGTGTGTGTTCAGAAGTGATTATAGAGGAATGCATTCGGAGCCTCCCATATTGGCTCCCATTGAACGATCTAATTGAATTCCAGTAATTTAGATACTTTGCCAAAGTATCATTTTTATTATAGGGATCAGTGATAGGGTGGGTGTATTGGACAGGTGGGTGGTTGTATTGTATGTGGGATGGTTGTATTTTATGTGGGATGGCTCTATTGTATGTGGGATGGCTCTGTTGTATGTGGGATGGCTCTATTGTATGTGGGATGGCTCTATTGTATGTGGGATGGCTCTATTGTATGTGGGATGGCTCTATTGTATGAGGGATGGCTCTATTGTTCATAGCGTGAACCATGCGTGGGTTGGTTGCATTATACATATGGTTGTACCATCTTCTTGAGGTTATCTTGAGATGATTTCGGGGCTTTTTAGTGTCCCCGCGGCCCGGTCCTCGACCAGGCCTCCACCCCCAGGAAGCAGCCTGTGACAGCTGACTAACACCCAGGTACCTATTTTACTGCTAGGTAACAGGGGCATAGGGTGAAAAAAATCTGCCCATTGTTTCTCGCCGGCGCCTGGGATCGAACCCAGGACCACAGGATCACAAGTCCAGCGTGCTGTCCACTCGGCCGACCGGCTCCCTACCATAGGTAGGGTTGTACCATAGGGTTGTACCATAGGTGGGGTGATTGTACCATATACATGACCTAGTTGCATTACAATTGCATGAAGTTCATCGTCAGTAGCTTCGAGTTTGCGTTGCAGATGTATGATGTACGTGGGAGAGGTGTTAATAATGTACATGGGAGAGCAGTGTTGTGTCCGTTCAGAGTGGGAGTTTAAAGATGAGGTAGTGGTGGTGGCGTCCGTGGGAGGGGGCCCCTGAGTGTGTGTGTGAGTGTGTGTGTGTTGCCTCCCAGGTTAAAGATGTGATGGTGGTAGTGTACATGGGTGGCAGGCAGTGGTGGGTGTTGTCTCAGTTGGTGG